TGTTCATTGAGCACGGCAACCTCATGTCTGTCAATACGGTAAGACATGCTTGAGAGTCCGCTTGGAGAGACCAGGCTCACGAGAGAAACCGACCATTCAGAGCACTGGCAGTGACTGAGGTTTGCTCGGCATAGGGCTTTGTTGGCATTGCGAAGTTTAAGCATGTAACTTGCAACCACGGACGTATGTTATATTAGTTCTCTCATCTGCTGTACAACAGCAGCAAACACTGTGTATTTGTACCAGCTTTTATTAGATTGACCCGACGGTTTTATCAACATGTGTGATCATCATACTTCCTTTAGTGCTTGATTGATTGAAACTTCGAGCAGGACCACGGCTTGGAAACTTTGTGGTGACCTGCTTGACAGCTCGCTCTTCGCCCATGGTGGTTTCAGACCTGAAGCCAGGGCCCCAGTCCTTTGAGTCAGGCCCGGAGCTGTGCCGGTAAGGAGAACGTTTTGGCAGTCGTGTTGACCACTTGAGGTGCTGACGCTTCTCAGTGGGTAGTGGTTAAGGACATTGAAAGTGTGACGTGTGCAGACGGAGCAATGCAAGGGGATCTTTGGGGCAAGTGACACATGAATGTACGTGCTTAGTATGCCACACCGGCACGTGCGAGGTATGGCCCATGCCAGCGTGGAGAACAAAAGCAAGTGGGGTCATGTGGAGCTCTTCCCATTGCACCACCATGCCCCGCCAGAAGCAACCAACTCGGACCTAGGCCACATACAGAATGCCAGCAAGTTCTTAGTTTCGACGCTAGCAGCTTCTCTCGGTGCATGAGTGCAAGACTTGTCATCATGTCTTTGTCGCTTTGTGTCAGCATCAGTGATACCTACAGGAGTTAGCAGTGGGATGGCTCTCTGCTATACATGCTAAGCTAAGCCCCGAAATGCAACTTCGCGACGCATGCAACAAAAGGCCCTGGAGTCTTGTTTAACATCCTTTTGAGCCTCATAGTCATAGTGTCGCAGCCACCAGTGGATGCATCCTATTTCCGCTTAGCATTGTGGAGTGGCTCGCGCTATTTCTTTAGCACGGTGTTTGGCCGCAAACCAAAGTTGATGCAGCGGAATGCTAGCCGCTAGCCAGTCTGCACATCGCACCTAGAGCTTGATCTTGCATTGCAAGGTGGCACTGGCATCTCCCAGGCCATTGGTTCAGAAAGGCTTGGGTGACAGCGGTGAGGAGCTCGTTCAGACATCACTGCAGCACAGGAGGCAAGCCCCATCGGTGGGCAGCAGCACGTGGTTTCCCCTCCAAACCGGGACACGATCACCTAACATCGATGATGGACCCGCAGTCGCACGGCAAGGAGCACTTTCACCGTTGCATTCTTCAAGCGGGCCTGGAAATTATCTCTGTTTTCTTGGTGGGGCTATGTCTTTCAACATGAGCAAGATACTGAATTGGCCGCGGTTGGAACGGCTTTTTTCGCAAAGCATCGCATGGCAGCTCTCGACAATGGACAGTCTTTGGGCTGGCATGATGTCTCGGCCAGGTCCGGTGCACCTTTACGTTTTGAGCCGGCTCTTAGGAAAGGTCTCCCCAAGTCGAGTGATTCTTGTTGGCCTTTCCCTCGGCAATGTGACCGCGATGGGATGTACTCAGATCACCGAGTGGGCAATCCGTGATTCTATCCGTGCATTGGTGCTGTGGGACCACGTGGTCCTGCCAGCTTACACTTTGAAACCTTTGAGATTGGTCGCCCCTAATTCCTCTCAGAGCCGCTCGTTTTTGAATCCGGAATTCTCCACACCACCATGTAGGCTGCAAGCACCAAGTCTTCTGATTCGGTGCCCATTCTACGAGCGCGAAACCATTGATGCCACCAACGACTATGTCAACGCGGTGGAGTCCTTTGGAGCAGTGACGTTTGAAGGTCTACGACAAACAGTCTTCTTGCAAGACACTAGCCACGTAAGCATCCGGTCAGGAAGTTGGCACACTGTTCTTTCGGTCTGCTGTTGGAGTTAGCTTGTACTCTTGAAACCGGACCGTGTTAGCTTCGTCACAGCCAGCTTGCCTGAGTCAATGAAGGCAGTTGTTTGTATCCTATGCACCAATCTATGCGGGACAGCATTCAGAGTCCCGTTAGCAAGACTGTTCAGCCCCGTTCAGAACATCTTCACAAGATCCTGCTCATTTTCACTCATCCTGCCACTAGGCAGCTACCGCGATGACTTGTGGGACATCACTCGCGTACTGAACTTCGCGGCCGGGTGACTCGCCTGAGCTATCGGAGAGAAGCTCAGGGCGAATGCCCGAGACGAGGGAGAGGGAGAAGAGAAAGTGGAGAGAGTGTAGAGACAGTCGAGGCAAATGTCAATCTGATCGTTGTTTGCTCCCTGTCATTCTTCGACACGGCAGAACAGGCTTGCACTTCACATATCTGCGCATATCAATAGAACTTAGCTTCTTTGGCCTAGCGGCTAGATTCTGTTGCCTCACGAAATTTCCCGTTGCTTTTCCTTGTGATGCTTCTAATCTAACTTGCGGCCGTCTCATCTTCGATTCCTGTTTGTGCTTGTTGGGTTCCTGAAGCAAAGCAACATCCCCATCGAAGCCGTTCAATGCTTGTGACTTACTTGCACGGCAGAGCAATGTCCGGTTGGGGCTACACATATGCGGAGTTCTTGCGAACGACGGGCGATAATTGGAGTCAAGTTGCAGAAGAGGGGTCTAACATGTAGAGAGTCGCTGCAAAGTACGCACAGCTATCTGTGTATCTTAGCCTACATGTGCTGGAGTGACATGGTACGACTTTACACGGCGACTGCCTTGAGCGACGCGCCAACGGCCTCCCCAAGCTTGCCTAGGTCGTGAGCCCTCACGAGCGAAGGCGACGGGATAGCCGTTGTGTTCTCAGGATTCAGGGTCCAGGGTTTTGCATTCTCCGAACCCTGACCCCAATGCTCAGAACAACAGCAAGAGCAGTGGCCAGTGTGGCGATGCTGTTGCAACGGAGGAAGCAGCAGCTGATAATGCCAGCGATAGTTGGCATGCAGTGGAGGTGGTAGTGGTCGTCTCTTGGGGATGTTGGTGGTGGCGGTGGTAGTGGCAATGATAGTGGCAGTGGCAGTGGTAGTGCGGTAGTACTAGAGCGATGTTGTAGTGGCATTGTAGTGTTAGGGGTCGTGGTCGTGGTCTATCATTATCAGCAGTATGTGCTGGTTCTCAACACAGACCTCACACTCAAGTGGAAGCTTAGAATATACAACGCAGTCTTCATACCACTGTTCACTTACGGGCTGGAATCGGCCGCCCTGACCACCAGCGACTACAACAGACTCGAAGCATTCCACTCACAGAGCCTTCGCAAGATCCTACATCTCAAAAGCACCTACTACACGCAAGTTTTACAGCCCACAGCTCGCACCTACACCAACCAGGAGGTTCGCTTCCTCACTGAACAGCCCCCCCCTCACACACCACATCCACAAAGCACAATTGAAGCTTTTCGAGCACATTCTTCGATCCCATCCGACAGGTAGAGAACGGAACTGCGGCTTTACACATACTTTTCAGTACAGAGGAGGAACGGTAGGAGCAGGCCTCAGACCCGGTAGGAGGAGAGTCCACTGGACAGAACAGTGTACCAATTTACTTTGGCACTGGCTTTTAAAGTTGTGACGCCCAGCATTGGGGAAGTCAGGGTAGGTGCCGGGAATTATTTTTATGAATATCTTATGGTTTTCTTATGGTTCAGGGGTTTTCCCCGTTTACGATTTTGATACGGTTGCGATTTCAATACGGCTACGCGGGAAAG